TCATCATCGTGTAGGTTAAGGTATCATCTAGTCGTGCACTACCAAACACAAGCAATATTTACTTGCTCAACACGCTGAGTACAAATGTTTGATATGCTGTTTACACTCTGCTTCAAAGGCCAAATAAATACTAAGCAGTTTCATTCTCAGATGCTTCAATGTCAAATTTAAGCTTTTGAAATAGATTACGATATGAAGTATAAATTTGACCAAGAGAAGTCAACAAAGAATTTACTTTGCTTTGTTTTGTTGACTTCTTCATACATAATATATAGCTTTATCTATTTCAAAATATTTAAATTCGGGATGATTTACTCTGCTGCCGCCCATCTAAAAGAGTCGAATTTTAGCAGTTGGTAAATAGAAATAAAATTGTCTGAATTATTATTATTATCATTATCATTATTATTATTAGCTGCTTTATGCTATTTATACGGCAAAAGTTGAAAGTTGGGCAAAGTTTTAATTAAGATTTTGTGTCTTCGTGTGCTTCAATTGATGAGTTCTGAAAATTCAAACGAAAACGAAATCAATTGAAGCCTCTGAGCCATGGCCAAAAAGGACAGGGCCAATTAAGTTGAACACAAAGGGAATGCAGGCAGCAACAACAAATGAACGAAATGTCCCGAAAAAGGATATTCAAGGAGCCATAAAATGGGGTCTCACAACACTGCAGAGGGGGCATGGCAAATGTGCATTAGATCTCAAACCTGAAAAGAGGAACGGAAACGGGAACGGGAACGAGTATGGGAACGGGAAGGAAAATGAGGGGCGTTGGGTCAGCGGGCGCTTCTAGAGCAATTGCATAGCGCTTTGGCATTGTCATATTTTGTGCACTGCACTGATTTGGTTTATCGGTGAAAATGAATTGAAATAGTAGGTGAGCCCAGCTGCCTACAAATCCAGCACACACACAGACGACCGAGAAAGAGAGAGAGAGAGAGAGAGAGGAGAGTGGGAGAGCTATAGGAACAGAAGCTAACCAAACAAAAGTCCAAGCAAATCGAGTCCAATATTTTTGGTATTTTTTCATTCTCTTTCCACATCTCTCTCTCTACCTCTCTCCTCTTCTCCGCTGATGCTGACTTATTGATTATAAGACAACAGATACCCATGCTTTACGTTCCCACACACACACACACTCCCTCTCTCTCTCTCTCTCTCTCTCTCTGTCTCTGTCTCTCTCGCTTTCCTTCTCTCTCTCTCTCACACATACACACACAAATGCAATTTTACAATGTTAACTCTTTTCTTGCAGTGCTGCCGTTGTCTCCCGACTGAGGCTTACCATTCACAATCAGAAGCATGCAAAAAACGGTAATTGAAATGTCGTGTGGCATGCGGCATGTGGTATGCGGCCTGTCGCCTTTAAGTACCCGCAACAAAGTATTTGTCAATCGAAGTTAACAAAAACAACAAATGCACTGCAGCCATTGCAATTCAAAACTCGAACAGTGCAAAGATAAAGGTCCACCTTTATATTGAGTGGAAAAAAGTGAGAGATGAGAGAGAAGGAGACTCATATATTAAATATTATATTGGTAGCTCAAATAAAATTGAAAAATGTCTAAATGCCCTGTAAGACAACTATTTTCGATAACGATAATTTATCGATAAAATGTCAAAATGACTCATTGGATTTGGCAATCCAATGCAGCCAGAACAAAGAAATAAATCTCACAAACGGCACAGCTAAGTTTACTCAGTTATTGCTTTTATATGGTCACCCTAAACTTAATTGTGCTAGGTTTTCAGCTGTCCACTCTAAAACTATTTTAAAAATCTGTACATTGATGCTTTTTATGTTTCATTTCCAACTATTCCTTTGCCATTTCATTTATATTAATATATATATATATATATATTTATTTTGTATATTCAACGAATTGAAGACCTCCTTTAATAACCTAAGAACTTCCATATAAAACTCTTTAAGCTCGAAGCTTTGTTTGCTCACAGCAAAACAATTTTACAGGGCATTAAGATAAACGTCAACAAAACGAAGGCGAACCAAATGCAAAACGTGACTTTGCCAACAGCCGTCGACTGAGCCGGACTTTAAAGCTGTTTCATCCACAGATTGACGGACTGGCAGACTGTCTGATTGAGTGCTTGATATTTGGTAAATTTGTAAATTTGTTTATACCGGAGCGCGACAAAAGTCAACAAGACAAAGTTCTTTAAACATCAATAAGCGCCGCGCCATCAGGAAGCGCAGTCAGGGGAACTGTAAATATTTTTTGATTTCATCAATATATGTACGAACATACATACATATATATTGAAAGAGCTCCATGGCTGAGGCCCTGTCAGCACCTTATTTGCATATTTGGTTAATTGAAATTGATTTTGGTGGCGTACGCAGAAAAAAAAAACGGAAATGTGCTGCTGGTCATGCGGAAGTGCGGCACAGCGGAATGAAACAGATAGCCAAAAATAGAGTTACCTGGCGCAGATTTGCATATTCTCTCCGAAGTCATCTGATGCAATATTAAAGGCAAGTGGAACAGTAGACGGCAACAAGCTGCAGCTGATACACTAGCCTTAAGGCTTGATATTCTTCTGTCACAATGGAATGAAACCGTCAAATGATTTTTGACTGCAGAGAGTACAATCAGTACAATCAGAATGAAACAGATAGCTCAGAGGACAGTCACCTTGCGGTGGCTAACCTATTCCATAGTAGGCAGGCATTTTGTATATTTGGCTAACTGGAGACAACGAAAAACCAATGTTGCCGAATGAATGACGGAATGAAACAGACAGCTGATTGTGATAGCAGAAAGTACAGTCACCTCAAATGCGGTTGCACTCATAAAAATCAATTTCAATTTGGAAAATAGCGAACATTATTGTGCAGCACATGGAATGGAGGCGGGGCGACTCTAGCCGAGGACGGAGGGACGGAACGTGGGTGCAAAGAGGGAGGCATGGCCTTTGAGGTTTCAAACTTGGAACGAAACGAAAAGAGACTGGCAAAACAACTTGCAACATTACCACAAAAGCCGACCCCGAATGATGTTGCTGTTGTCGCTACTTGTTGTGCATAGTCAACCGAGTCGCCTGGGCAGAGGGTTAGGGGCGTGGTCTGGGTGGTGGAGCCAAAGCCACCGCAAGAACCGCTCGCCAAGCGCACTCAGCGAACTGCGGCCTGACCTGCTTACTGCTTGGGAGAGCTCAACTCTAGAGTGCTAGATGAGGCAGGTTCCATGGAGTGAGGCCAGGCGAGGCGGGCGGGGGCTGGCTGCTGAAGTTAGAGGCAGTTGCACGGGACAATGTGGCAAAGAGTTAGTGTTTGAGTATTTTGTGTTTGCGTGCAACATGCACACACTCTGACGGGCTGCTTAGATGGTAGGGTTGGGAGTTGGGTTGGGGCTGGCGTTGTGTTGCCTGTGACGTCAATGCACGCACGCACGCAGCAAATGGTTGACAAGAATGCAGCAGACAGAGAGACAGACTGACCGACTGACACGCGGCATGAGGAGCTAAAGGGGGCGTGACAACAAACTATAGCACAACTTTACCGCAATGCAATGACAAATGATTAATCGCAAGCACTGAAACAAACAAGTAAGAAGGCTCTAGTCGAGACTGCTCGACTAGGAGATACCCTCCAAGCTGATATTCTTATCATTCTGCATTCATCATATGTATACACACAGTAAATCTGAAGTCTCCAGGTCAAATAGTATTCCAATGAGGCTCAAAAAGCAAAATCAATTTTTCGATTATTCTCGATAAAAAAGTTATCGGATGGTTTATCGAAACAAAAATAAGACAAACTCGTTCTGCGTATGGTATATACGAGTATGCATGCCAAATTTCAGCTCTCTAGCTGAATACAGACGGACGGACAGACGGACAGAGCTATATCGACTCAGCTCGTCGCCCTGATCAAGAATATATATACTTTTTGGGGTCTGCCACGCCTCCTTCTGCCCGGTACATACTTTTTCACAAAACCATTATACCCTGATTTCCCATTGAAAATGGGTTCAGGGTATGAAAAGGAAAAAGAAAACAAAAACAGAAGCATATCAATAGGAGCGCCACAGTAAGAGATGATCGACTAGAAAATGCCATAATTTCTTGAGCATTAATTCAAGATTTGGGCATTTTTTAACCAACAAACATATGTAGATACAATAGTCTTTTTAAATGCAGCTTAGTGTGTCCTCTGATAAAATCTTCTACCACCATCTGGCTACGCTTTCACTATACACTTAAAATGAGTCTAGGGTATCGAAACAAATGTGAAAGCAAATGCCTAAAGTCGATACATATCCGACCATTGGGAAAGTTGCAGGGTTAACTAACAGTATCACTTGAAAAATGCGTAAAGAATTACAAACAAACACATAGCTAGATCATAATATTTCAACAGAAAATCTTTATTCATACAAAGGAATGCAAAGTAAAAATTCCAATGCTTTCAAATCTGAATATGGCAAGGATGATGCTGAGCTCCAATGAGTCCAGACCAAAATTCAGAATCCAACTGAATCCAGAAATATACAGGCGAATCAAGATCAGTCCAGGTGAGTCCTAATTGGTCTAGATAACTTCCGCTAAACCCAGCTGAGGTTCGAAAAGTCCCATTGAGACTCAATGAATCCCAATGAGTCTGATGAGGAAGCACAGGCCAGTGACCACTGACGATACCAAAACATCGTCAAAAAGTTGCACCGAAATTCACTTCTCGATTTATTTGATTGTTCAAACATGAACATACATAATAATAAAAATAGAGACAGTACTCGAATAACCTGCGCGTTATCCGACACAAAGTAATAAATATGTCATCCCTTAGTTGCAGCGACCAATGCAGCGTCTAATATATGTAAATGTAACGTGAGCCTGGGCCCAAAGATTCAAAAAAAAGGGACACTTAAGTAAACATCTGGGCACTTGTTTGTGTGAGAAAATGCACCCTTCCAGTGACTGGAAGTAGTTTTAAGAGTCTCTGTTAGGTATATAAGAACTAGGATTTTAAGCAATAAAGAGTTCAGTTAAGATCTTGAATTCGGCAAATGTGGAGTGTTTTTCATTTTAACGCTCTAACATTGATCGAGAAAACTCCATCATAGTCATTATTGCAGCAATAGAATATTCATGATCTCTCGAGCCCAGTCCCATGCCTCGCCGCTCAACTTAATTGAAGAAACTCCATCATACTTGCAGAAACAGAATACCTTTGGTCTTTCGAGTCCAGTCTCATCATTTTGAACGCCAGTCTCATCATATCGAATGCCCCCGTGATCTAGTAGTGGTAGAAATTCCATTATACTTGCAGAAATACTTTTGATCTCTAGAGTCCAATGTCCTCTTTTTGAATACAAGCTATAAATTGAATCACATATAGTATCTTTAGTATCTTTATGGTCAATAATGTAAAACTTACTCCACTCTCCGAGCTACTTGAATGAAGAAACACCATCAAATTTGCAGAAACACAATTTTCTAAGTATTATCTTGATCTCTCTAGTCCAGTCTTATATTGAATGCCCCCGCGATATACTTGAGTGAAGAATCACCATCATACTGTCAGACACAGAATACTTTTGATCTTTCGAGTCCAGTCTTCTCGCCACATTAAATATGGATTTTGCAAAGTTGCCATTTTTATGATATCTTGAGTTCAGTTTCATAATACTAAATACCTCCACGATCTAATTGAATGAAGAAAGACCATAAAACAAGCAGACATAAAATACTTTTGATCTTCCGAGTCCAATCTTCTCATCATATTAAATATTGAATTTGCAGAGTTGCAATTTTGATGACATCTTGAGTCCAATCTTCTCATCATATTGCGGAGGTACCGCGATCTACTTGATTGAAGAAACACCACCAAATATGATCTATCGAGTCCAGTCCTCTCATCATATCTCATGTTGAATTTGCAGAAACACAATTTTCCTGATGCCTCGGGTTCAGTCTAATCATATTGAATGTCCGCGAACTACTTGACTGAAGAACCACCATCATACTGTCAGAAACAGAATACTTTTGATCTTTCGAGTCCAATCTTCTCTCATCATGTTGAATATTAAATTTGCAGAATTGCAATTTTGATGACATCTTAAGTCCAGTCCTCTCATCATATTGATATCTTAAGTCCAGTCTCGTAATATTGAATACCCCCGCGAACTACTTGATTGAAGAACCACCATCATACTGTCAGAAACAAAATACTTTCGATATATCGAGTCCAGTGTTCTCATCATATCTCATGTTAAATTTGCAGAAACACAATTTTCTTGATATCTCGAGTCCAGTCGCATCATATTATATACCTCCGCTATATACTTAAAGAAACTCCGTCATACTTGCAAATACACAATTTTCCTGATACCTCGAGTGCAGTCACATCATATCGAATACCTCCGCGAGCTACTTGATTGAAGAACGACCATCATACTGGCAGAAACAGAATACTTTTTATCTCTCGAGTCTAATCTCATCATAATGAATACCTCCTCTAATCTTCTCATCATATTGAATACCTCCGCTATATACTTAATCAAAGAAACTCCATCATACTTGCAAATACACAATTTTCCTGATACCTCGAGTGCAGTCTCATCATATCGAATACCTCCGCGATCTACTTGATTGAAGAAACACCATCATATTTGATCTATCGAGTTCAGTCCTCTCGCCACATTAAATATGGATTTTCCAGAGTTGCCATTTTCATGATATCTTGAGTTCAGTCTCATTATTAAATACCTCCGCGATTTTCTTGATTGAAGAACCACCATCATACTGTCAGAAACAGAATACTTTTGATCTTTCGAGCCCAATCTCATCATATTGAAAATCTCGGCGATCTACTTGATTGAAGAAACACCATCTGATTTGTAGAAAGACAATTTTCTTGATATCTTGAGTCCAGTCGCATCATAGTAAATGCCTCCGCGAGCTAATTGATTGAAGAACGATCATCAAACTGGCAGAAACAGAATACTTTTGATCTTTCGAGTCCAATCTTCTCATCATATTGAATATTTCCACTAATCTTCTCATAATATTGAATACCTCCGCGAACTACTTGATTGAAGAACTACCATCATACTGTCAGAAACAAAATACTTTTTATCTCTCGAGTCTAATCTCATCATAATGAATACCTCCTCTAATCTTCTCATCATATTGAATACCTATATACCGCTATATACTTAATCAAAGAAACTCCATCATACTTGCAAATACACAATTTTCCTGATACCTCGAGAGCAGTCTCATCATATCGAATACCTCCGCGATCTACTTGATTGAAGAAACACCATCATACTGTCAGAAACAAAATACTTTCGATCTATCGAGTCCAGTGTTCTCATCATATCTCATGTTGAATTTGCAGAAACACAATTTTCTTGATATCTCGAGTCCAGTCGCATCATATTATATACCTCCGCTATATACTTAATTAAAGAAACTCCGTCATACTTGCAAATACACAATTTTCCTGATACCTCGAGTGCAGTCACATCATATCGAATACCTCCGCGAGCTACTTGATTGAAGAACGACCATCATACTGGCAGAAACAGAATACTTTTTATCTCTCGAGTCTAATCTCATCATAATGAATACCTCCTCTAATCTTCTCATCATATTGAATACCTCCGCTATATACTTAATCAAAGAAACTCCATCATACTTGCAAATACACAATTTTCCTGATACCTCGAGTGCAGTCTCATCATATCGAATACCTCCGCGATCTACTTGATTGAAGAAACACCATCATATTTGATCTATCGAGTTCAGTCCTCTCGCCACATTAAATATGGATTTTCCAGAGTTGCCATTTTCATGATATCTTGAGTTCAGTCTCATTATTAAATACCTCCGCGATTTTCTTGATTGAAGAACCACCATCATACTGTCAGAAACAGAATACTTTTGATCTTTCGAGCCCAATCTCATCATATTGAAAATCTCGGCGATCTACTTGATTGAAGAAACACCATCTGATTTGTAGAAAGACAATTTTCTTGATATCTTGAGTCCAGTCGCATCATAGTAAATGCCTCCGCGAGCTAATTGATTGAAGAACGATCATCAAACTGGCAGAAACAGAATACTTTTGATCTTTCGAGTCCAATCTTCTCATCATATTGAATATTTCCACTAATCTTCTCATAATATTGAATACCTCCGCGAACTACTTGATTGAAGAACCACCATCATACTGTCAGAAACAAAATACTTTCGATCTATCGAGTCCAGTGTTCTCATCATATCTCATGTTGAATTTGCAGAAACACAATTTTCTTGATATCTCGAGTCCAGTCGCATCATATTATATACCTCCGCTATATACCTAAAGAAACTCCGTCATACTTGCAAATACACAATTTTCCTGATACCTCGAGTGCAGTCACATCATATCGAATACCTCCGCGAGCTACTTGATTGAAGAACGACCATCATACTGGCAGAAACAGAATACTTTTTATCTCTCGAGTCTAATCTCATCATAATGAATACCTCCTCTAATCTTCTCATCATATTGAATACCTCCGCTATATACTTAATCAAAGAAACTCCATCATACTTGCAAATACACAATTTTCCTGATACCTCGAGTGCAGTCTCATCATATCGAATACCTCCGCGATCTACTTGATTGAAGAAACACCATCATATTTGATCTATCGAGTTCAGTCCTCTCGCCACATTAAATATGGATTTTCCAGAGTTGCCATTTTCATGATATCTTGAGTTCAGTCTCATTATTAAATACCTCCGCGATTTTCTTGATTGAAGAACCACCATCATACTGTCAGAAACAGAATACTTTTGATCTTTCGAGCCCAATCTCATCATATTGAAAATCTCGGCGATCTACTTGATTGAAGAAACACCATCTGATTTGTAGAAAGACAATTTTCTTGATATCTTGAGTCCAGTCGCATCATATTAAACACCTCCGTTATATACTTAATTTAAAGAAACTCCATCATACTTGCAAATACACAATTTTCCTAATACCTCGAGTGCAGTCACATCATATCGAATACCTCCGCGATCTACTTGATTGAAGAAACACCATCATATTTGATCTATCGAGTCCAGTCTTCTCGACACATTAAATATGGATTTTGCAAGGTTGCCATTTTCATGATATCTTGAGTTCAGTCTCATAATATTAAATGCCTCCGCGATCTTCTTGATTGAAGAACCACCATCATATTGTCAGAAACAGAATACTTTTGATCTTTCGAGTCCAATCATATTGAATATCTCGGCGGTCTACTTGATTGAAGAAACACCATCTGATTTGTAGAAAGACAATTTTCTTGATATCTTGAGTCCAGTCGCATCATAGTAAATGCCTCCGCGAGCTACTTGATTGAAGAACCACCATCATACTGTCAGAAACAATACTTTTGATCTTTCGAATCCAGTTTTCTCATCATATTGAATATTGAATTTGCAGAATTGCACTTTTTATGATATCTTGAGTGCAGTCTTCTCATCATATATATATCTTTAGTCCAGTCTCATAATATTAAATATCTCCGCGATATACTTTTTTCAGAAACACAATTTTCCCGATACCTCGAGTGCAGTCTCATCATATCGAATACCTCCCTCATCTACTTGATTGAAGAACCACCATCATACGGGCAGAAACAGAATACTTTTTATCTCTCGAGTCTAATCTTCTCATCATATCGAATACCTCCGCAATCTACTTTATAGAAGCAGTACCATCATATTTGATCTATCGAGTCCAGTCTTCTCGCCACATTAAATATGGATTTTGCAGGGTTGCCATTTTCATGATATCTTGAGTTCAGTCTCATAATATTAAATACCTCCGCGATCTACTTGATTTAAGAACGACCATCTTATGTTCAGAAACACCATTTTTTCGATACCTCGAGTGCAGTCTCATCATATCGAATACTTCCATGATATACTTGATTGAAGAACCATCATCATACTGTCAGAAACAGAATACTTTTGATCTATCAAGTCCATTCTCATCATATTGAATATCTCGGCGATCTACTTGATTGAAGAAACATCGTCTGATTTGTAGAAAGATAATTTTCTTGATATCTTGAGCTCAGTCTAATAATACTAAATGCATCCGCGATCTACTTGATTAAAGAACGACCATCAAACTGGCAGAAACAGAATACTTTTGATCTTTCAAGTCTAATCTTCTCATCATATTGAATATTTCCACTAATCCTCTCATCATATCTAATACTTTCGCGAACTACTTGATTGAAGAACGTCCATCAAACTAGCGGGAACAAAATATTTTTTATATTTCGAGTCCAGTCTTCTCATCATATTGAACACCTCTGCGATCTACTTGATCTACATACTATTTGCAGAATCGCAATTTTCTTTATCTCTCACTCGACTCCATTCCCATCATATTGGATCTAACCGCGATCTACTTGATTGAAAAAACTTTTCATACTCTTAGAATCCAGTTTCACCAGTACTGATTGTGAATCGCATATTCTTCCAAAGAAAACTGAATTTTTTTTCCGTCAATTTTGTTAGAATATTACTCTCCAACGATCTCCAGTCCTTCTCGCAAGGGTATTGCAATACATATCGTTGATATATTCAGCAAAGTCAATCACTTTAAGTTCGTGTCATACAATTCCATCCACAGACACATTTTTTGCAGCCCTTGCCGATAAAAAGAACAAAACATCATCTTGAATTGCTTTTGAAGCTTAAAATACACTTACCTTCAACAATAATTCAAATTTCTTCATCGTCAATAATCCTCAGCTCAGTCCACTCCCTGATCGACTTAATTGAAGAAACTCCATCATAACCATACTTGCAGAAATAGAATACTTTTGATCTCTTTTCTTTGGTCAAAATTTTACCTTCCAAATAATGATATCCAATCCTACTTAGAATTTTCAAAAGATAATCGCAAAACATTTAGCATATATATATTAAAGGGGACATCACATCATCATGTCCCCGCAATTTCTTAGATCCTTTAGAAGAATGAGATCAATTTCATCAAAAATAGAAAACAATATACATTTAGCTTTGCTTTTAAGCGTGAAAGCTAATTGAGTTCTAATCAATAGGCTCGGAAATGAATGTCAGAATCAAAGAACAATAATAATTCGTTTGAGGTTTATAGAAAACGAATGCTCGTAATTAATTAAATTCAGTTGAGGCTTAGAGAAACACGAAATAGCGTTATCTCTATTCACATTGACATCTGGGCCAGGAGCTTTGTTCGACTAATGCGCCTTTATACGCCCATTGATCAATGCGTTATCATTGGCACCATAACTGTTTTGAATACAGCCCATTGGATGGCTTTTGCCAATATAGAATACGTACGTAAGAGACTAAAGCTGACAGTGACACCAATGAATAATGAGCAATGAATTATGTAAATAAGAAATATGTTTATTTAGCGCACTGTTCAATTCATCACTAAAAGTCAGACAAAGATATATCTCTCTTTCTAATTAGCCATGCCACACACTAGCGGCGTACACTTATTCTCTCATACTTATTTTTAGAAAATGTTCCAGTAATATCTAAATACAATTGAAAAGGCTACATAACCTGATTAACCATTTTCCATGGGTCAAGAGTACACAACGAAATAAGCCAACTTCAGGAGTCTCCACATTTCCTATATCCTAAACCCACAGACCTTCACTGATCAGTATCAGATTCCGTTGTCATTCTTGATGAAGAGAATGCACGCTGCTACGACTCTTTCAATACGATACAAAGACCTACGCAATTCTCGAATAAAATAGATATATGATGCAGGTAAGGAAAATGACCAGAGAAATATCTATATAGAGTAGGAAGCACCGTTCACCGCTGTTTCAACGAATCCTGAAACTGATACCAAACTTGCAGCAGGAAAATTCTACTAGCCCAAAATCTCCTTATCAGACGCTCATTGCCCGATTAATAATATATCACACTTAATTAGATTAAGGTAATATGTAAGAATTAGGAATAGAAGACATCGCTTTATCGGGCGACAATATCATAACTGACGAATCATACCAACATCGTTTGCAGGTGTTGTAAAATATGACAAAAACATGATAAGGAATCCCCACATAGGCTTCATAGCTATTATGTTAAAAGTAGGATAAAAAGATATCGCTTGAACCACACTTTACATCAAACCAAAAAAATATTCTCAGCAGTCCACGTGACTTGGAAATATACTAGAAATAGGAATAGGAATGGAAGACGTCGAAACTACGGACGACAACTACGGCATTACATTAGGGTTATATGTAAGAATTAGGAATAGAAGACATCGCTTTATCGGGCGACAACATCACGACTGACGAATCATACCAACATCGTTTGCAGGTGTTGTAAAATATGACAAAACATGATAAAGAATCCCCACTTAGGCTTCAAAAACACTTTACATCAAACCGAAAAAATATTCATTAAAAAAAAAAAACAGCTACAAAGCACGTTACTTGAAAAAAAAACACAGCTATTATGTTAAAAGTAGGATAAAAAGATATCGCTTGAACCACACTTTACATCAAACCAAAAAAATATTCTCAGCAGTCCACGTGACTTGGAAATATACTAGAAATAGGAATAGGAATGGAAGACGTCGAAACTACGGACGACAACTACGGCATTACATTAAGGTAATATGTAAGAATTAGGAATAGAAGACATCGCTTTATCGGGCGACAATATCATAACTGACGAATCATACCAACATCGTTTGCAGGTGTTGTAAAATATGACAAAACATGATAAGGAATCCCCACTTAGGCTTCATAGCTATTATGTTAAAAGTAGGATAAAAAGATATCGCTTGAACCACACTTTACATCAAACCAAAATAAATATTCTCAGCAGTCCACGTGACTTGGAAATATACTAGAAATAGGAATAGGAATGGAAGACGTCGAAACTACGGACGACAACCAAGGCATTACATTAAGGCATATGTAAGAATTAGGAATAGAAGACATCGCTTTATCGGGCGACAACATCACGACTGACGAATCATACCAACATCGTTTGCAGGTGTTGTAAAATATGACAAAACATGTTATCAAATCCCCACTTAGGCTTCACAGCTATTATGTTAAAAGTAGGATAAAAATATATCGCTTGAACCACACTTCTCAGCAGTCCACGTGACTTGGAAATATACTAGAAATAGGAATAGGAATGGAAGACGTCGAAACTACGGACGACAACTACGGCATTTCATTAAGGTAATATGTAAGAATTAGGAATAGAAGACATCGCTTTATCGGGCGACAATATCATAACTGACGAATCATACCAACATCGTTTGCAGGTGTTGTAAAATATGACAAAACATGATAAGGAATCCCCACTTAGGCTTCATAGCTATTATGTTAAAAGTAGGATAAAAAGATATCGCTTGAACCACACTTTACATCAAACCAAAAAAATATTCTCAGCAGTCCACGTGACTTGGAAATATACTAGAAATAGGAATAGGAATGGAAGACGTCGAAACTACGGACGACAACTACGGCATTACATTAGGGTTATATGTAAGAATTAGGAATAGAAGACATCGCTTTATCGGGCGACAACATCACGACTGACGAATCATACCAACATCATTTGCAGGTGTTGTAAAATATGACAAAACATGATAAGGAATCCCCACTTAGGCTTCAAAAACACTTTACATCAAACCGAAAAAATATTCATTAAAAAAAAAAACAGCTACAAAGCACGTTACTTGAAAAAAAAAAAACACAGCTATTATGTTAAAAGTAGGATAAAAAGATATCGGTTGAACCACACTTTACATCAAACCAAAAAAATATTCTCAGCAGTCCATGTGACTTGGAAATATACAAGAAATAGGAATAGGAATGGATGACGTCGAAACTACGGACGACAACCAAGGCATTACATTAAGGCATATGTAAGAATTAGGAATAGAAGACATCGCCTTATTGGGCGACAACATCATAACTGACGAATCATACCAACATCGTTTGCAGGTGTTGTAAAATATGACAAAACATGATATTAAATCCCCACTTAGGCGTTAAAACAGTTTACATCAAACGAAAAAAAAACACAGCTATTATGTTAAAAGTAGGATAAAAAGATATCGCTTGAACCACACTTTACATCAAACCAAAATAAATATTCTCAGCAGTCCACGTGACTTGGAAATATACTAGAAATAGGAATAGGAATGGAAGACGTCGAATTTACGGACGACAACCAAGGCATTACATTAGGGTAATATGTAAGAATTAGGAATAGAAGACATCGCTTTATCGGGCGACAACATCATAACTGACGAATCATACCAACATCGTTTGCAGGTGTTGTAAAATATGACAAAACATGATAAGGAATCCCCACTTAGGCTTCAAAAACACTTTACATCAAACCGAAAAAATATTCTTTAAAAAAAGCACGTTACTTGAAAAAAAAAAAAAAAAGCTATTATGTTAAAAGTAGGATAAAAGGATATCGCTTGAACCACACTTTACATCAAACCAAAAAAATATTCTCAGCAGTCCACGTGACTTGGAAATATACAAGAAATAGGATTAGGAATGGAAGACGTCGAATTTACGGACGACAACTAAGGCATTACATTAGGGTAATATGTAAGAATTAGGAATAGAAGACGTTGCTTTATCGGGCGACAATATCATAACGGACGAATCATACCAACATCGTTTGCAGGAGCAACACAGCGTCTCTAATCACTAGTACTCTAGTGTGGGAGCGCTTAGCTGGCGCCGAGCAGGGACCCATATTCTTCACAGTTTTAAAGTGAAAAGGTGACGTGTCAATAATTCAAAAAAATTAACCTATGTCATATTCACATCAACTATTAAAAAAAAATTTAATTTACAACTCTGTGAGAACATGACTAACGTTGTTATCTCCATAGGAAACGGGCACTCAATTTTAATTCAAGCTCAAGCCGTACCAATTTAAAATTATGGATCTCATCCTGTCAAGTTTGTAAAATGCAAAAACATGGTAGACATCCAAATAAGCCACTTCTATAACCTACACTGATACCAACATATCCATGCGAAGGAATACACGTGGATATCTTCACATTACAAGAAACACAACTCTTAAGTTGTATCGATAAAATTTTAAAATTTACAAACTTTCTCCCACACCATCTAGATCTGCGATACATTTACGCAGCAAGTTATCTGAAGTGCTTCATTAATTCACAGTCCCCAAAATTATAAATAGAGATAGAGAAGAAGGTCGTCTAATATCCCAGCTGTACTATAATATACTATACTCCAACACAAAAAAGTGAAGTTAATGGAAGCGATTCCATTCAACCTTTTTAGATAAATTTAGGTGCTTAAGACAGACATAAACTATCAAATAAGAAAAAATAAAAATACACTACACCTATACACTTCAATGAAGAAGACGAAGAATATACCAAAACTAGCGCACAGTAAGACTAAGACAAAAGAAGATTAGTAAAGAAAACCGCAACGAGACAATCAAAACACAAACCTGCAAAACTTTTCATAAATCACACGTAAGATAATAGCAAATTGTATCCAAAATGTAAAAAAAAAAACAAGAAGGAAGAAAAGAGAGAAAATGCTTATTAAAGCATTTTGTCTCAAGGTTGCAATTTCTCCACAATTATATCGTAATAAAAATAAAAATACCTATTTTAGCTTCCCCAAATAACAGCACACCCACAGCGTTTTTCACGTGGTATAACCTTCCTATAGTCTTCCGAACATTCATGGCAATGGGGATTTCCGAGATGCCAGAGTGAATGAAATAAATGCGCTTGCAACGTTGGATGAATCGTCACAATCACAAAGGAATACCCAATGCATGGAATGGAATGCCTTGAATTAACTTGAAGGTGGATTAATGTCTCTCTTTATGTTAATTTCTGGAATTATAGTCCTGGACACTGGAACTATCGAAGACCTTGAAAATTGGACTATCTTGAGGACAAATATCATTATAATGGACAAATGCATTGTGGCGCATTGAAGTTTGCTGGTGAAACGCCCGGTTTGTGCTGCCTTAGTGGTAAAGTGACATTGCCATAAGTGGTCCCGCCACCAGAGCCATTGCGTTCCCTGCTTTATGGCGAAACACTAGAATCACGACATTTTCTAGCGAACACTCAAAAATACAATGCCTGTTTCCAAATGACTTCATTTGGGGCGGAGACGGATATAATCCGACATTTAAGGTAATTTACGTTAAAAATTTTATTTTCTATGATTGTAAAAAAAAAATTTGGAATAATGTAGTTTGTTAGATTTCTGTAAAAAGTGTTTGTAAATCTAACTATAACTATGGCTTTGAATTTAAAGATTCAAGGCCAGATTTGCCATCGCATTGGATCATTGCAACCTATTGAAGATGCACAGCACAAATTCTTGCAAATATACTTCATGGGCAATATGGAAGAACAACTTGACCGGCGTCAAGAAATCAACACAGCTATGAAAAGAGCAATTCTCCAAGATTTGCAGCAAATGCTTCATGAACATCATGCATTGGTCAAGCTGTTCAAGACTGCTTTAGAGCGCATGCCAAGTGATGACTATAAAGTAGTAATCAGAGCAGATAAAAGACCAGCTGGAGCACATGAACGCACATTTAATGCTCCAACAATCGATGAAGTGGCAATCCTGATTGTTGGTGAAAGCTTGGAAGCACGCGATATTGTGCTTACACGACGCAGTACTGGGCAACTACAAAGAATATCTGAAACGCACCGTTCATATGACGCTTTACAATACCCGCTGATGTTTTGGCAAGGAGACGATGGATATCACGCAGGCAATCAGTTCAAACCAATGTACAACTGTTGAATCCTAAGCAGAGGGAAATCTATGATACACTGATTAATGCAATTGATGATGGAAATGGTGGCTTATTTTTTTTTTGGATGCCCCCGGTGGAACTGGGAAAACATTTCTCAAGTCATTGATTTTGGCAACTGTATGTGCGAGATCGGAAATTGCGGTAGCAATTGCTTCTTCTGGAATAGCGGCCACATTGTTAAACGGATGCCGTACGGCTCACTCAGCTTTAAAATTACCATTAAATCTTCAAGCTACTGAACAACCGACATGTAACATTTCAAAACACTCCGCAATGGCCAAAGTTTTAGTAGCATCAAAAATTATCATATGGGACGAATGCACAATGGCGCACAAACGCGCATTGGAAGCACTAGACCGAACATTAAAAGATCTGCGCAATGACTCGAGATGTTTTGGTGGTTCAATGATTTTATTATCTGGCGATTTCCGACAAACACTACCAGTAATTCCAAGATCTACTGCTGCCGACGAAATAAACGCTTGCCTCAAAGCAGCAAATCTGTGGCGATATGTAACCAAACTTCAACTGTCTGTAAATATGAGAGTTGCATTGTTGAACGATCTATCTGCTGATGATTTCTCGAAGCAATTGCTGAATATCGGTAATGGCCGTATTCCTGTTGACGAATCGAGTGGCTTGATTTCATTTCCTCAACATTTTTGCAATTTCGTCTCATCAAAAGATGAGCTTATCAACAAAGTATTTCCGAATATCATTGCCTTCCACAAAAATACTAAATGGTTAAGTGAGCGAGCAATTTTGGCGGCTAAAAATAAAGATGTGGATGACCTTAATTTTATAATTCAAAATAAAATCGTTGGTACTCTGTATTCATTCAAATCTATCGACTGTGTAACAAACGAAGATGAAGCCACTAATTATCCAACTGAATTTTTGAACTCCTTGGATGTGCCTGGTTTACCACCGCACAATTTACAACTGAAGGTTGGCTCGGTAGTTATCATGCTTAGAAATTTAAACCAACCAAAACTGTGCAATGGAACGCGTTTGGTGATAAGGAAACTGATGAGCAATGTGATTCACGCGTCGATACTCACAGGAAAATTTAAAGATGAGGACGTTCTTATTCCTAGGATTCCGATGATCCCAACAGATATGCCCTTTGAGTTTAAACGAATTCAATTCCCGATTCGTCTTGCTTTCGCCATGACGATCAACAAATTACAGGGCCAATCTTTGACTATTTGTGGCTTCAATCTAGAAAATGCGTGTTTTTCTCATGGTCAATTGTACGTGGCATGCTCACGTGTTGGCAAACCATCCGCATTATTTGTTCTTGCACCTGACTAAAAAACGAAGAATGTCGTTTACTACAAGGTGCTTGAATGAAAATCCGATTAATAAATTAATCAGAGTGTATCCCAACCTGAGCAACATAGCTTTCAACAATTTTTTACCTAGAAATAATGGATAGGGCAATGCAACGTTTGCCAGGCCAGCTAGTTTACTATATTATACAGTAGTATAGCAGTAAATAAATAAATATAGTCAGTCAGTCAGTCAGTCAGTTTACGGCACAGCCTCAAGCGGACCTGACTGTTCAGAAAAAGAAAACCAGTAGAACTGATATGGCTCAGTTTATATTCCGACGAGAGATTTTAGACCTATTGTTACTAAATTATATAAAATGTATTACTTCATTGAATACAAAGGTATTCACAAGAACCCAACACAGCGTCCCTTCATTAGTACTCTAGTGTGGGAGCGCTTAACTTATATCTTCAAAAATAGGATTCGAAGACATCACTTTTCGGGCGACAACCGTCGCAATGAGATAAGTGCAATACAAAACAATGCGTCTCAAATATCTTCTCCGCCAAACATCTCTAAATAGGAGTTTAGATACTCTCTGTTCACTATAAACCACATATTAATACACTTACCTCAAACAGTAGTGAACATTTCTTGATTGTCTATAATCGCCACTCACCGATCTACTTTATTGAAGAAACTTCAGCACAACCAATCTTGCATGAATAGAATACTTCTGATTTCTTGACTCCAATCTTACTTGACTTGGATCTTGACTTCTGATCTCACTCCAAACAATGGTCCACATCATAATTCGGGCGACAGCCATCCCAACACTCAGACCGCATACTCAGAGAGAGTATGTACGCTTTCGAGCCTCTGAGTATACTCTATACTCAGGAAAATGCAGCTAAATACGCTGCAGCTCACCAACAAAAAAATACAAAATCAAAAACAAAAAACTCAGTAGCTCAGTAGCCTTGACAACAGTGATAAATAAACAAATGTAGTCAGTCAGTCTACGGCACAGCCTCGAGCAGACCTGACTATTCAACAAAAAAAAAAAAAAAAAAGACTATTCAAAAAAAAAAAAATTTTTTTTCCAAATCAAAAAGAAAAATAATTCAAATCAAAAATCTGCAAAAATTCAAAAAAAACAAAAGATTAAAACCTGACTGTTCAAAAAATAAATAAAAAATTCAAAATTCGAAATTAAAAAAAAAAAGTTAATTATTAAAAAGTGTATTTTTGGCTTTTTATACTTTTAAACTTTATAAATATTTCAAATTTCAAATCAAAAATCTGCAAAAATTTAAAAAAAAAAATCTAAAGATTAAAACCTGACTAATCAAAAATAAATAAAAAATTCAAAATTCGAAATTTAAAAAAAAAAAAGTTAATTATTAAAAAGTGTATTTTTGGCTTTTTATATTTTTGGACTTTTAAACTTTATAAATAATAAAATTGTGCGCGTGCGTACAAAAGCTAAATATCTCGAATGTTCAGGTATTTGTTTGTCTCAAACATAAATTTGTGTAAATTATTTGTTTTATATATATAGAGACTGTTAGGCGGTACGAAGTTCGCCGGGACAACTAGTTTTTCAATAAAAAAAAAAAAAAAAATGAAAAAAGGAAGTCTGAGCTCAACGAGAGCCCGAAGGAAACTGAAAGCTTATGGCTTATGTTGGCTACCTCTAGTCGATTCTTACGGAACAGGGTCGCAATGACGATAGGAGATTTTAGAGATGTGCCCCACTATGATAATTTTTTATCGATAGATGTTACTCAGAGACAGTGCAGCATTCGTTGCATATTTACGCCTTCGAGCCTCTGAGTATACTCTATACTCAGGGAAATGCAGCTAAGTACGCTACAGCTCACCAAGTTAAAAAAAAAAAAAACAAAATACAACAAAAATTTTCCAAAACAGGCCATAAAAAAAAAAAAAATATATATATCCAAAAATATATAAAAAAAAAAAATATGAGAAAAAATTGTTCCAATGCAGGCCACACATATAAAAAAAATCAACCAAAAAAAATTTTCCAAAACAGGCCATAAAAAAAAAAAAAAAAAAAAAAAAAAAAAAATATATCCAAAAATATATACAAAAAAAAAAAAAAAAAAAAAAAAACAAAAGAATGTCTGAGCTCAACGAGAGCCCGAAGGAAACTGAATGCTTATGGCTTATGTTGGCCACCTAGTCGATTCTTACGGAACAGGGTCGCAATGACGATAGGAGATTTTAGAGATGTGCCCCCTATGATAATTTTTTATCGATAGATGTTAGCAGGAGTTAACAGAAAAAGGGTTAGCTGAAAGGTGGAATCGTTACACCGAGTTTTGATGACTAGGAATTAATTGTCATTAGATAATGCTGCTAAGCCGAATAATTCAGTGATATTAATATTTCAAAAAAATTGTAACAACAGTGAATTGAACAGCTAGACACCAGTCTTTGTCCGTAATATTTAAATCGAGTGGCAAGAATTGCATATGTGTTAACTTAAGCTAACAGCTCACATATTTTGCAAGAAAAAATCTGAGGAAATACTTTGAACTATTTATAAATATATAAATATGTTTACGGTACCTTTTTTCCAATTCAAAATCTAATTGTTTCTCCAGTTCATACTGCAAGCTGAAAAAAAAAGAGGAGAAATGAAAATCATTGTTAAAACACATTTGTATTATTGCATATCGTGAAATCACATCGATTTGCTTATGCTAATATCTTAATTATTACGCCCTAATTGCGACCAATCAATTTTTATACTCATTCACGAATCTGAAGCTTAATGCAATGACCGTCTTGCTATCCATCTGTCCGCTATGGAAGCTACAGATTTAAAATTTTAAACATACATACATACACCTTCAAATAATAAGGTGTTAAGATTTTTCCAGTATGAATTCAGTGCAAAGGACTGGCAATTTTGAATACCCGCGTTGACAACTCAAATTGAAAAATTTATGGTGAATCTATGCTCAGTGGAGCAAATAGGGCAGAGCTGTATCTTTTACAGTTTCGGAAGTAGAAATTTTCACGACTAAATTACTGTTCACATCCCCTATTGATAAGTGAATATTCTGCAGTCGGTAATGTCCAGTTGAAACATCCTTATTCATTTTCAATAAATATATATTGGTTTTCAAAATTTAATAGAACATAATTTAAATGCAGGCTCCCGCATTCACAAATAAAACAAACAAAAAAAAAAAAAAAAAAAAATTCAATGAAATATAAAAAGATACAGGAGCTGTCGAGCTTAATTGACTGCTTCATACCCGTTCAATACCGAATATGAGCTACATTTATTAAAGACCATATTCGCCTGACCCATCTGGCAGCCTTATATCTTCTGACAGAGATGCCAGATCGCTCATTGAAATGCCGCGTTGGAAGCTTCAGTACGAGCAGATTCTTACCATGTATCAGTAAGGCTGATGGCAGAGTGGCCGCGATAAGCGATGAGCGAGAAAGCTCTGCATGATACATGTCAGACATGCTTGATACATGTCAGAGTGCAAGCGAAGCGAGAAGAGAGCCAAAGCGAAATGTAAAGCGAGTTGCGAGAAAGCGATTCTGAATCGTATTGAGACGTCGCCAATGACATTCCAAAATCGGTCAACTTTGGAACAAATTCAGCATGTCCGATGAGGCTAATTTCTTATTGAATGGGTCGGTAAATAAGCAAAATTGCCGTATTTATGCAAATGAAAATCCTCACGTAATTCAAAAGGTTCCTCTTTACAATAACGAAATCACTATTTGGTGCGGCGTTAGCGCGAAAACTATTATTGGGTCGTTTTTCTTCGAAAATGAAGATGGCCAAGCTGCTGCCGTCAATCAGGAGCGTTATCGCGATATGATAGCAACTTTTGTTATGCCAGTTATTCGTCGAAAGCGTGTGAGGAGGTTCTGGTTTCGACAAGACGGCGCTCCACAGCACACAGCTCTCATCCCAATCGATTTTTTAAAGAAATTCTCTTCTCGTCAAAATAAAAAAGCTGTGTTTAATTTTGATATAAATAAATAAAAGACAGGAGTCAGTCGAATATGGACAACCCTGTATATATAACAATATTATTTTATAGGATTAGACAGGTATATGAATAGGAATTTTAGAGGAATTGTCAAAGTTTGAGATATAGATGTAGCCACGCCCCTCGTTTGCATATTCACTTGATCATCGATATATGTATTATTTTATTTATTTTATTTCATGTTTATATGTTATACATCTTATCTGATCTTAAAACACATATACTCTCTTGTTCACGTGTGCCGAACGAGTAAAAAAAACGTAGAGCCGGCAGCGTAATTAAAAATTGTTATCAATTTCAATGGCTAATTGTGGTGTATTTGTAACGGCCTTTGTATGCGTATGTGTAACTGTTTGTATAAAGTTGTGTGAGTTCAGCGACTGGTCAACTCTTTGTATACAGATGCATAGATTACAAAGCAAGCTGCCCAAATACCAAATGCGAGCACGGACTACAGACAACAGACTATAGAACAGATACAGGTATAGGTAAAAGTACTGGCACAGGCACAAAGGTACACTTATAGTGGACAGGTTATTAGATAGGAATTTAAATTAAATAAAAGCAAAGCAAGTGAAAAGAGAGCATCAAAAAACTTTACAATTGGATACCCTGTAAAATTGAGCTTTAAATTAGCGTAAACAAATTTGTGTTAAAAAGGATAACCTAATGCAAATGACCAAATTGTAACAGACAGAAGGGGCTGAGCCGCTGATGCCTTCAAATTTGACTTTCCCCTTGACTAACGCGAAAATATTTCAAAATATCAATACATTTATTTTGTTTCTGTATACAAAATATATAACCAAGCGAAAAGCACAAATTTTGAATTTGGTGAAAACGAATTATTCTGGCTTTAAAAATGGAACATCCAAATCTAAAACATCAAATATGGCATACGAATAAAAAGCACTATGATAGTTTTGAATACCGAATACTGGAGTTAAGCGGTCTTTATCAAATAAATAAAACATACTTATTCTTTTTATTTTTTCTTTTTTTTGGGACAAGTTATAAATTTACTGTAGGAAAAAAGTAAAAAAAAAAAAAATCGAAAAATATTGATATATCGATATTTTTAATGTTGCATATCAAATATGATATTGATATTTTTCAAAACTTAAAATATCATCGATACGATAATCTAAAAATATTCACAGACCCTATTAGATATACAAAACTGTATTTCTAGGCGAAAATGTCGCCAAATGTATACAAAAAACAATATACCCTTTAACTTACGTGAAAGAACTAATAAAATTTTGGTAAATATCAAAATTTGTGACGCATAAGCCATGTGAACACATGTTTGGCGAACAATAAAGCATAGTAGGCATATAGTTGGATGAGTGTGTGTTTGTCTGGGTGTATGTATGTGACTTCATATTCAATTGTTGTTGACTGTTGCAAACTGTTAGCATAGAGTGAAGATGCAGGCATATATACATACGGACAATAAACACATACATATATGAATATATATGTATATTCATATTCAATCTACTGTCGGGTTAATACCGCCCATTTCTACCCTTGAACACCTCTACCAGCCCAAACTAATATACCCAGGATAATGGTAGACATTACAACAACTTTCCGAGTTTTTTAGATAACGTTTTCTTTTTCAGTTAAAGTTTTTCGCCTGAATATATTGAAGAACTACAATTCCGAAAATCCCATTACTTCTTCACTTTCGAGCATTTATATTGTTTACTGTATTTATTTCAAATAAACTTTTTCTCCAGAAATCCAATTCTTGTTGATTGAAAGTTAGTTCAATTTCAATCAACGGGAATTGAATTTGAGTTTGGACCTTGTGTTATAAAATTAGACTTCAGTATTTTACGTAATAGTTGTGTAAGTGTATTTAGTTAGTTTAGTCTTAAGTTGGCTATGCATTTTCTGCTCGCAGCATAACTTTCATAATTAATTTATCGGACAAATTAAGTTGTCGCTTGTCCTAGCGGCTGACACATGAGCCTATTATAACGCAGACGCAAACTGCACCCACATGAAGCCCTATTAATATACGTAAGTGTATTAGGCTAGGGCGGGAAAAGTTAGAGAAAACTCCATTAGCTGATGTGCTTGGCTTTAGACAGCAAAATCCAAGTTTAAATTCAGTCATTCAGTTTATGCCGAGCTTCTTGGTTATTAAACAAGAAGGCTCTAGTTGAGACTGCTCGACTAGGAGATACCCTGGACCCTCCAAGCTTTCAAAACGTGTTCATAATGTTCAAGTGTATGTGAACAAGTATCTAGTACTAATTGGCGGCAAAGGGGGTATCCAAAATTTGTAAATTACAAAATCTCCACATCTAATAGTATTCAAATTGGGCTGAAAAAACTTAATAAATTTATCGATTATCCTCGATAAAAAGATATCGAATGAGAATTTCAGCTATATAGATCTTATAACTTCTAAGATCTAGGTGTTCATACGGACGGACGGACAGACGGACAAGACGATATCGACTCAGCTCGTCGCCCTGATCAAGAATAAATATACTTTAGGGATCTGCCACGCCTCCTTCTGCCTATTACATACTTTTAACAAAACATTTTCAATGGGTTCAGGGTATAACAATGCGTCTCAAATATTTTCTCCGCCAAACATCTTTAAATTGGAGTTTAGATACTCTCTATTCACTATAAACCACATATTAATACACTTACCTCAAACAGTAGTGAACATTTCTTGATTGTCTATAATCGCCATTCACCGATCTACTTTATTGAAGAAACTTCATTACAGCCAATCTTGCATAAATAGAATACTTCTGATTTCTTGACTGCAATCAAACTTGACTTTTTGATTTCTGATCTCACTCGAAACAATGGTCCATGTCATAATTCGGTTTTTTCGGGCGACAGCAATCCCAACACTCGGACCGCATACTCAGAGAGACTGATTCGTTGAATATGTACGCTTTCCTCTGAGTATACTCTATACTCAGGCAAATGCAGCTAAATACGCTGCAGCTCACCAACAAAAAAATACAAAATAAAAAAAAATATCCAAAATAGGCCATACAAAAAAAAAAAAAAAAAAAATTGTATATGTATATCCAAAAAACATATTCAAAAATAAAATTTTTGCATATAAAAAAAAAAAAAAGAGAAAAAATTCCAAAATAGGCCATACAAAAAAAAATGGGAACTTTTCAATTCAATAAGACTAAAAAAAAAAAAAAAAAAAAAAGAGGTCTGAGCTCAACGAGAGCCCGAAGGAAACTGAATGCTTATGTCTTATGTTGGCTACCTAGTCGATTCTTACGGAACAGGGTCGCAATGACGATAGGAGATTCTAGAGGTGTGCCCCACTATGATAATTTTTTATCGATAGATATTACTCAGAGACAGTGCAGCATTCGTTGCATATGCACGCCTTCGAGCCTCTGAGTATACTCTATACTCAGGGAAATGCAGCTAAATACGCCGCAGCTAAAAAAAAAAAAAAAAAAATAAATAAAAAACCAAAAAAAATTGTTTCAAAATAGGCCATACAAAATATAAAAAAATTTATGTATATGTATATCCAACAACGATATAAAAAAAAAAAAATTGTTGCAAAACAGGCCATATTAAAAAAAA